GTGAACTACTTAGGGATAAATTTGACCAAAGGGTTATAAAAAAAAAAAAAAACCTGTACACAACAAACTACAAAGTAATGTCTAGAAAAATTAAAGAAGACCTAAATAAATGGACAGATCTATCATTCTTATGGATTAAATGTCTCAATATTGTCAGTTCTCCACCAAATTAATACATACACTCAACGCAATCCCAATGAAAATGTTATTAAGCATTCTCATATAAATTGGCAAACTGACTCTAAAATTTATATGGAAAAGCAAAAGACCTAAAATGGTGAAAATAATTTTGAAAAAGAACGAAGTTGACACTATCTCATTTCAAGACTTATTATGAAGCTACAGTACTTAAATATAGGCATATTTACCACTCTAGAAATTAACCCATAGATAAGGCCAATTGAGTTTTGAAAAAAAGCCAAGGTAATTCAATCATGAAAAAATAATCTTTCCAACAAATGGTGCCAATACTATTGGATATCCAAATAAACAAACCTCAACTCTGACACCATGCTGCATTACAAAAATTAACTGTAAGTTGGCTATAGACCTAAGTGTCTTGCTGGACAAAATTTCTAGAATAAAATAGAAGCATATCTTAGTGACCCTGGGTTACACAAAGATTTTTAAACAGGACACAAAAAACACAAATGATAAAAGAAAAAAATGATGAGCTGGACTTCATCAAAATTAAAAACTATACACTTCAAAAGAGACTGCTAAGAAAATGGAAAACAAAGTGCCTGGGTGGTTTAGTTGGTTAAGTATCTGCCTTCAGCTCAGGTCATGATCCCAGGGTCCTGGGATCGAGTCCCATGTCAGGCTCCCTGCTCAGAGGGAGCCTGCTTCTTCCTCTCCCTCTGCCGTTCCCCCTGCTTGTGTTCTCTCTCTCTCAAATAAATAAATAAAATCTAAAAAAAGAAAATGGAAAAACAATCCCAAAACTGGAAGAAAACATTTGTTGTATAAAGGATTCTTACAACTCAAGATTAACAACTCAATTTTTTTTTAAATGAGCAAAGATTTGAAGAGACATATCCCCAGAGAAGACATTGATGGCAAATAAGTCATTAAAAGATACTCAAAATCATTAGTTACTAGAGAAACACAAATTAACTCACAGTGAGATACCAGTATGCTCCCACCCTAATGGTAAAAACTAAAAGACTGACCACACCAACTGTTAATGAATGGAAATCTCATACAATGCTGGTGGGAAGGTAAGATAGAGCAACTCTGGAAAACAGTTTGATAATTCCTCAAAATGTGAAACATACATCTACTATATGACCTAGCCATTTCGTTCATAGGTATTTACAGAAGAGGTATGAAAGCCTAGGTCCATACAAAGACTTGTACATAAGTGTCATAGCAGCTTTATTTGTAACAGCCAGAACCTGGAAATAACTCAGATGTCCATCAACAGGTGAATGGATAAGGACATTTTGGTATGTGCAAACTACAACAATAAAGAGAAACTACTGATACACACAATGTTGTGGATGAATGTCAACATTATCATATGGAGTGAGAGAAGCCAGGCACAAAAGAGAATCATTACATGATTCCATTTATTAGAATTCTAGAAAACTGACTTAGTTTCTTTGTCAAAAGTGACAAAAAGCAGATGTAGGCTTGCCTAAGGAAGGGTTCAGAGAGATGGATTAAAAAAGGACGTGGGGAAACTCTTAAGGAGGACAGAAATGTTTGTTATCTTGATTGTGGTGATGGTTTCACAGGTATATGTCACAATTAATCAACCATACACTTTAAATATGTGCAGCTTATTATACATCAATTATACCTCAAAGCTAATTTTTTAAAAGTTTATCCCAATTCTGTGAAGTTATATCTGTGATGATTCCACATTATATCTCCTATGATAGCCTTTTTGAGGACAGGATCATTCATCAGTAAATATTCTTTAACTGACTAAATTAATTCATTCAATATTGAAAGACTTTCCCCTACATAAATAAAGTATACAACACAGAGTACAGGCCTACTTGGATTCAATAGGTGCAGTGGACAGCCTGCAGATGGCCCCCAGGATTCCTGCCTCCTGGTATTCATGCCCTTATGCATGGTATCTGTCACTAGCTTCCAAGCCATAAAATACAGCAAAGGTGAGAGAATGTATTTGATTATGTATACATGATCACATACACACCCATTGTAGCACTCTCACTCCCTTGCTGGCTTTGAGGAAGCAGGCAGCCAGGGTGGCAAAGCCAATATACCAAGGAACTGTGAATGGCCTCTAAGGGCCAAGGGCAGCCTCCAGCCTCCAGCCAGCAAGAAACTGAAGCCCTCAGTCCTACAGCCTCAAGAAACTGAATCTGCCAACAAGCATGTGAGTTTAGAAACAGACCCGTCCCCAGTTGAGCCTCCAGATGAACACCCAGCCCTGACTGATACATTGATACCAGGCTTCCACGAGACCCACCTAAGCCATGAACTAACCCACAGAGACTGTGAGATGACAAATGTGGGTTGTTTTAAGCCACTAAGTTTGTGACAATATTGTTTACACAGCAGTAGATAATTCACTGGGTCTGTGTGGAGGGAGAGCAGGGGAGGAGCAGAGTAGCAAAAGGGGAAATGCATTCAATATTCTTATCTTATCTTATCTTATCTTATTTTCTACATCCAAGTACAATGATTAAGTTATTATCAACCACAAGATAAAAAATAATCGGAGTTAGAGGAAATCAAATTATTTCTTTTAGCTCTACTTTGGCTGAAAGAGAAAAAGTGAAGAAACATATAAGTAGCTTACTTTAAGGCATGCCATATGTAAGTTGTAACACAGCTTGTAAAACAAATGAATAAATGCAAGTGAAAAGGACTGGTCAAAAACCCTTTAATTTACTTCCACCGTACATTTTGTTCTGCTTTTCAATAATGAGCACATTAGCATTTAAGAATTGTAGCACAATCATTGAAATGCAAGCAAAGCCTTTTAATCATCTTCACTCACCACCCTTCTGGAAGGAATAAGAGCTTGCCAGAGGACAACCTACTCCGTCTACTTCTCTTCAAAGACTCCAAAGAGAAGGACATTCAATCACACCACCTTCAGCACCTTCAGGCACTCTGAAACACCATAGTTAGCTGTCTCTGTTGGAAATGCAGGAATATATGTATTCTCCTATGATTTTTAAAAGCTAGCTACCGGTGTTGTTGTACACTCTTTTCCAGTCCCCAGCAATCATTCCAATAGGGCGTCCGTGCGGTGCAGAGGCAGTTAGGGTTTGTGTAGTTCTCTGGTTTTCTGTGACTATAATCCCCAAGCCTGGCAAGGATCGTGATAAGTAGCCCGGGCAAATCATCACCGTCAGAAGTTCTGTTTTCTGCTTTGATAGATTTTCAGAAGAAATAATTGGGATACCATGGGCAATTAACGTGGTCTCTACTTTCTCTCATGTTTTTTGCAGTGTGTGGATTTTGGTTTATGCTGTAATGTGGCCTTATACATTAGGTTAAAAAGGAAGTCACTGGAAATCAGGATGTCTGAGAAAAATGATATAATATTTAGTGTTCGTGCTGCTGACCAAGATACTTGGCTTAAAATAAATGATTTTATGAGTAAAAATTTGTTATATAAAACCAGATAAAATAATTTAAATTTTTATAATAAAATGAGGGAAATGATCTTGCAAACATTTTTAACTTGTCTAAACATACACATATTTAGAATATGAAAGCCTTATACAGTATACATACAATACACAAAAATAATTCCACATACTGTATAGGCTTATGTCTGACCTGAAATTAATATGCTAGCCAAAATCAACATTTCAGTATTTAGCAAAAATTATTTGTCTTCAGAGAATTTAGATAAATGTTATGTGTATATGGAAGTCAGGCAAGGGAATGATGGGTGATGGCCAAGTAGTATATGTGGGCAATCTCATTTTTTTTTTAATTTCAAAAGTAATTGAAACTAATCTTCCTTTTTCTTTCAGTAAATTACCTTTTAACAAATTTAGTCATATACAAAGTGGGGCCATTCCTGGTAAAAATAAGTAAAGGAAGCAAATAACCAAATGTTAAGAGCATCAAGAAATTTGAAGGCATTACTAAGAAATTTATTTTTATTTTTCCTTAAGCAGGCTCCAACGCAGGGCTTGAACTCATGACCCTGAGATCAAGATCTGAATGGAGATCAAGAGTCAGACGCTTAACCAACTGAGCCACCCAGAGACCCAGAAATTTCTTTAGAATACCTTACGAAAAAGAAATCTTTTAAGGATTATCCATCATTATTTGAACATTTTCTCTATATTAATAAGCATGTGTGTGCCAGAAAGATAAAGAGCAGGGATGAGAGAGAGAGAGATGTTAATTGATTGCATACATGAAATGAAAATAAGTTTCTTTTTTTTTTTAGATTTTATTTATTTATTTGACAGAGAGAAAGAACAAGCAGGGGGAATAGCAGAGGGAGAGGAAGAAGCAGGCTCCCCACTGAGCAGGGAGCCAGATGTGGGGCTCGATCCTGGGACCCTGGGATCATGACCTGAGCCGAAGGCAGATGCTTAACTGACTGAGCCACCAGGCCCCCTGAAAATAAGTTTCAAAGAAGCACCTATGAGGCAAGCTTGTAAGGGTCTGGTAGAAAACAGAGCAGTGATGGAAAAGTTAAAGGACTGACCATGTGGATGAGATTCAGAACTCCCAAATTTTTAATTTTTTTGGCTTTCTTCCCTCTTCTGCAGCCTGCTTCTATCACTGCCCAGCAAGCACCTGCAGCACGATGTCCTCCAGAAGAAACAATAAAGGGAAGGTTAAGGCCTTCAGGAAGAAGAACATGACTCATAAACTTCATGACAGTCCTCCAAGGAAAGTAATGGAATATTCATCTCCCTGCAGTGCCTGGCTTCTCTAATGGGAATGAAGACTTGTGTGAAGAGACTGTGACAAAGGATGCAAAATGGCAGAGACCATCAAGATGGCCCTCCTAGCGCCTCTCTGCCAAACCTCCATTTGCTCACCTTTTCCAGAAGCCGGATATTATCCCACACCTTGCTGCAGACCATACACTCAAATGCATCGATGTAGTTGTCCTGGTGGACATCTTGCACTCCCCATTTCCGTTCCCTGAGTGCTGTAAGAAGTCGCGGATTAGAGACCTCACCCTTCAGCTTCCATTCTATGTAGGCCTCGTATAGTCTGTCATCATGATCCAGTTGTCTGATGTAACTTGCTAGTTCTCTAGGGTGAGCAAATTCTGATACGAGAATAGCACTTCTATTACTCGGGAGCCAGTCTGCAATGCTGGGGGATCCATAATACACAGGGACCACCCCCAGTTTCAGAGGTCTCCAGAACTTCTCAGTGATGTAGTCATCACACACTGCGTTCTCAAAGGCAAGAATAAACTTATACTGTGAGATGATCCTATAAAAGCCATCGGCATCCATAGAGGCTGGATTTTTCAGCTGCTGAGGGAGATCTTTGTTTCGTAAACACTCACCATAGGAATCGACCTCGATGTAAGTCATCAGCTCTCGAACATAGCTGTCCCTGTCTGACGGCGGGTCACAGTCTGACTGGACGTACACCAGTGGAGCAAGTCTTCTTCGAAGGTTGTTTTTGGACCTCAAAGGGACCAGGTATCGGCGTGACTTCAGGACTTCTACACCCTCCAAGTACTGGGTGGTCAGGGGCAAGTGGGAATGCCGGCTGAACGTGGCAGTGTAGTTGAACAAGGTGATGACTGGCTTGTGGAAGAGCTTATAATTGTTTTTTGGAGACTCTTCGTGAAAAAGGGCCCAGTCATGATGGGCTTTCCGAGGCAGAGGTAAGCTATCTATATTAAAGTCAGTGCCTAGAAGAAGAAAAGAAAATATTAGTACGTGCAAGAGAATTTTAGTGTCCAACTTGGAGTCTACCTGGTAAGATTAGAATACAGAGAAGTCTGAAGCTACAAAGAAGCATGTCACAGTGTTGGCAAAGTGCCTGGCAGTCAATCGTGACTCATTCACCCTAGAAACTGCTCAGGGAGAGGAGCACCAAGGAGAGGGACCCTCTTTCTGATTTTATGTTAAGAGAAATGGGAGTAGTGTCTAGCCTGGTTCTAAAGGGAGAATTTATTCCACTGCCTCTGGCAATTGGTTTTTCTTCCCAGAAGTGTTGTCTAAGAGAGGGCAGGTGAAATAAAGAGATATGGGGGCCTGGGTGGCGCAGTCGTTAAGCATCTGCCTTCGGCTCAGGTTATGATCCCGGGGTCCTGGGATCAAGCCCCACATGGGGCTCCCTGCTTGGCGGGAAGCCTGCTTCTCCCCCTCCCACTCCCCCTGCTTGTGTTCCTGCTCTCATTATCTCTCTCTTTTAAATAAATAAATAAATAAAAATTTTTAAAAAGGAAAGAAAGCAATCGACAATTCTTATAAAAAAGAAAAGAGCGAGAGAAAGAAAGCCAAAAAGGGGAAAGCAACCAGCCTGGCAGAATGGTGCACTGAAAAAAAAAGTGAAATCATGCAGAAGTTGCCAGAATAAATATGCAGGATAGATTTTTTTTTCATCCAAAATGATCGATTTCAACAAAGTGCAGTGAATCAATCACAGTCAAAATGGTAGACAAGAGGCTTTTAAAGACAAAACAGCTGATAATAGCACTATGCTACAGACCACTGCAGGATGGACATGAATTAACCAGCACATCAAGAAATAAAGAAGGCATAACAGGATTATAATTATGAGTGATTCTAGCTTCCACAGGATTAATTGAGAAACCTTTGAAACATGATCATGTGCAGACAGAAGTGATGGATGTGGTGAACAGATGTTTCCTGACAGCGTGGATGGAGACTCAATCAGGAAGACGTCATTTCTATAACCGAGAAACAATTAAGACAATACCGCAATATGTAACACCAAATTTCTAAAGTGTTTCTGACACTGAAGATTCTGTGGCCCCTGATTTGAGTTTTTAAATATAAGGAAATGGCCAAAAAAAAAAAAAATCCATCTGCCACCCTTCACTGGGGGGAGAAAAAGGCCCAAATAAATGCTTCCAATGGAATAAAACATATTCTCTGGTAGAATTCATAACAATTAATTATTTCATGCTCATGCACACTCTCTCAAATAAATATATACTCTTTGGTGCCAACAGTACATCAATGAGAAATCAATTAATCAAGAAAGGCTTTTAAACAATTAAAGACTGAATAAAATTATGTTGGAGGACATATACTGAGCACAGAGAAGTTGCTGAACAAAGTATGACTGTCTTGATACCAGGCTTTTATTCTCAATGATCAGGAATGGAAGACTAACATATAAAAGTGGTTATGTATTCATTTACTTAGCATTTGCTATATTTGCCCTTTAGCATCAAAAAGAATGCTCATCTACACACCTGCTATGTAATGGCATATAGAGTTAAGTGGTCAGAAAGGTTAACAGACAAACGTGAAGACATGAAAGAGAAGCGAATTTGAAGAGAAAAGCAATTTATTGCATGAAGTGGTTGCTGGTCAACTGGTCAAGGATGGGAACAGGAACCCACCCATTTGAGTTAGAATGGAAAGTTTCCACTGAAGGCAGAACAAAAATCCAGGTCGTTTGCCTGGGATAGGAAGAACTAGAGTCCAATCCACAGGAGTCAGACGAGGGATCAAGATGTAAGATTAAGATTGGAGGGGTATGCGGACGCCTGGGTGGCTCAGTCAGTTAAGTTTGTGCCTTCGGCTCAGGTCATGATCCCAGGGTCCTGGGATCGAATCCCACAACGGACTCCTTGCTCAGCGGGGAGACTGTTTCTCCCTCTACCTGCCACTCCCCCTGCTTGTGCTCTCTTGCTCTCTGTCTCTCTCTGACAAATAAATAAAATCTTTAAAAAAAAATTGGAGGGGTATGATTAAAACAAAAGTGGGTCTAGAATTGGGGGGGGCAGGCACAGGTGTCTTGAGGGAGTGACTCAGACCTCAGGGGCTGTCCGCTGCTGCTATATGGCACATGCGTGATTCTTTCTTTGCCTCACCCTGGGTGTGCCACAGCAAAGACCCAAAATGCAGAGCAGGGAAGCAGCAAGACACACCGCCTGCCTCCTGTGCTTTGGAGAATGGAGAGGGCCTGGGTTTCATCTCTGCTCATCCACATCAGTAAAGTGTAACAGGCACTAAAAATGGCCATGTGTAGACCTTTCTGTGGCCAGTTTCTAGGTCCGCTCAGATTGTATTGATAATATGAATAGGACTTGAAACTAGTACCAATTATGAGCCATGAGCCCTTCATTCATTATAACTAGGAGATGAGAGCTTACCAGCTCATTATACCTTCAGCCAAGTTGCTACTGGAACCTCAATGTTGGAAGGAAGGGAAGAAGATCACAGGGTCCCTTCCATATGCAATCTATGGTAGTAAAAGAAGCCTGCAGAATCTAAGCAAGAAACATTTATTTATATTCATGCTCTAAAAAAAAACACAGCTAACTGAACATGATAAAAATATATGTAAAAATAATATAAATAAATAAAATCTTTGTTTAAAAAGGTGGGGGAAAAGAACACAGCTTTTTTTTAAATGAGTGTGAGGTTCTCGTACATCCATCTGAATTCTGTTTAGTTTGTAGGAGTGGGGTCATCTTTAAAAGTGGGGGAATGCCTCTTTAACAGAGAAGCAAATTATGCCATTTGCAACGACATGGATGGAACTGGAGGGTATTATGCTGAGCGAAATGTCAATCAGAGAAAGACATGTATCATATGACCTCACTGATATGAGGAATTCTTAATCTCAGGAAACAAACTGAGGGTTGCTGGAGTGGTGGGGGGTGGGAGGGATTGGGTGGCTGGGTGATAGACATTGGGGAGGGTACGTGCTATGGTGAGCGCTGTGAATTGTGCAAGACTATTGAATCACAGATCTGTACCTCTGAAACAAATAATACATTATATGTTAAAATAAAGAAGAAGAAGATAACAGGAAGGGAAGAATGAAGTGGGGGGAATTGGAACGGGAGACGAACCATGAGAGACTATGGACTCTGAGAAACAAACTGAGGGTGCTAGAGGGGAGCGGGAATGGGGGATGGGTTAGCCTGGTGATGGGTATTAAAGAGGGCACGTTCTGCATGGAGCACTGGGTGTTATATGCAAACAATGAATCATGGAACACTACATCAAAAGCTAATGATGTAATGTATGGTGATTAACATAACATAATAAAAAAATAATAATAAAAAAAAACAGAGAGGCAAGTTAAGAAGACCTAACTTTCCAGAAACATTTCCCATTATTTGTTACCTTAAAAAGTATTTCCTAGCTACTTCCCTACGATACATACATAATACACACAGACATACAGATACACCCAAAATTACATTAAAATAGGTTTTTTTATTTTTTTTATTTATTTTTTTTTAAAGATTTTTATTTATTTATTTGAGAGAGAGAGAATGAGAGATAGACAGCACGAGAGGGAAGAGGGTCAGAGGGAGAAGCAGACTCCCCGCAGAGCAGGGAGCCCGACATGGGACTTGATCCCAGGACTCCAGGATCATGACCTGAGCCGAAGGCAGTCGCTTAACCAACTGAGCCACCCAGGCGCCCCTAAAATAGGTTTTTTTAATCAGATTCTTCCAAACTAAAATTTTCTGGGAAAGATTTAAAAAATATGGGCGCCTGGGTGGCTCAGTCGGTGAAGCGACTGCCTTCGGCTCAGGTCATGATCCTGGGGTCCTGGGATCGAGTCCCGCATCGGGCTCCTTGCTCTGCAGGGAGCCTGCTTCTCCCTCTCCTCCCCACTTGTGCTCTCTCCCACTATCTATGTCTCTCTCTCTCAAATAAATAAAATCTAAAAAGAAAAATTTAAAAAATAAATAAATAATAAAAAATATGGCATTTTGCCCAGTGAGCTCCTCCCCTAAACCTACAGCTTCAGATTGTTAACACTTGAGAATACTGAAATGAGAACCATAACAGACTTAAAATACAGTTGACCTTTGCATAACACAGACCTGAATGTCATGGGTCCACTTACATGTGGATTTTTTTCAATAAATACAGTATACAGTACTGTAAATGTATTTTTGTTTGTTTTTCTTAATAACATTGTCTTTTTTCTAGCTTACCTTATTGTAAGAATATAGTATATCATACATATAATATACAAACTATGTGTCAACCAACGGTTTATATTATCAGCAAGGCTTCCAGTGAACAGTAGGCTATTAGTAGTTAAGTTTTGGGGGTCCAAAGTTAGACCCAGGTTTTTGACTGTGTCGGGGGGTTGGTGCCCCTAACCCCAGCATTGTTCAAGGTTCCACACTGTTCTTCACTGAGGAGATCATGGTCTAGAATGAGTGACGATACTGAACAATGTCTATATGTGTGACTCAGGAAACAACTGAGTTATTTTGCTCTTTCCAACTCTAGGGCACTGCCCACTGTAACAAGAGTTGGAACACGGAAAGAAATAAAACTCAATGACACCATGGTGATCCATAAAAAATGTGACTAACTTGCAGGCGATGAGCTCACTAGTTGCCCACAGTCATCTTCACTCCCTCTCGTATTTAACAACTTTGGATTCAAACTTTCATTTCTCTGGGTGATTTTGTGTTTACTGAATATTGACAAATTTATTTGTTCCCTTAAATAACAGCTGACACATAGATCTTACGCACTAAAGTGCACTGTAAAGGGAATTGCAACTTGGAATACAAATGGAATAAAGTTAATGCCAGCAAATGAAGCCAGATTGCTAACTACGGAGCTGTAATTTGAAGTGGCAGACAAGCAGATGAGCGACAGTACTTTATGATATGTTTATGGACTCCTTTTCTTCTGCATGGGCATAGGTTCTTTTTTTATTATTCCC